ATATGAAAGGAGGCACTTTTAATGGAGTCTAAAATGTCCCCGAATCAATAAAAAGATGACAATTATGTGAAAAGTACAGCCATCAACATACACACTTAGCGATCAATCAGGAATTGGTCCTTGATAAAGCGCCCTTCCTGTATTTGGTTGATGTATACCAAATACAGGAAGGGCCAAGTTCCATTTTCATGATAGCTGGAAAGAGGCTAGACGTAATGGTGCACATTGAAGATACAATGGATTTTTACATGGGGAGCGACTGGTGCGTGCGTCTATCCGAGGGACTGAGTCGATTTTCTGTAAACGGAGAGCAGGGATGGGGCGTGTGCCAGACTCTCACGGGGTGAGTTTACAGAGCAGAACGAAGCCTGACTAAAGGTGTTGAAAAATTGCTGTACATATATAAGACGTCACCGATCCGTCACAAATACATGACTTTAGATTCAAACGTGATAAAATTCACAAAATGCGTGATTAGAAAATATATTCTCGGCGTTTTTCGGTCGTATCAGCTGATTTCTTACAGTTTCCAGGTCGGGATGAGGACAGCTTCACAAAATCTCAATTGACGAAAGTGGCTTTAAAGAATTGAACACTGATGCTCCACATAACCGAAAAGACCTAAAGCGTAATGACTTGTTTGTTTGTTTGTTTGTTTACACGCGCACTTTCCTTCGGGGATGCATGGACTTGATGGGTTGCGTCTCAAAAAGCTGTCATGTAAACAAAGCCTGACTTCATTATGTCACAGGCGTATTTTTACCAGTTCCTTTCCAGGAATGGTCGAAGAAACAATAGTTTTCGTGGTAATAGGCTACAATTAGCCCTTTTAACTTTCTCCTGATTGCAGGTTTACTGGGCATCGGTTGGTTCCTGCCACATTACCGGTGCCAAAGCTGTACAGGGAACCAGGTAAGTGAACGACAACATGAAGCAGGGTTTTCTTTTATTCAGTTATGTTTGTGACATGATACAGGGAAAGTTATTTCAGTTTCGATTTGTCAGCTTTATAAGGGTAATACTAAAATAGCATTAATCATTGTAAACAGAAATTTGTCATTTTGATTAATAAACGTTAGTCCAGCTCTATGCCTAAAATGACCAATTTCAGTTCGTCAGCCAGGCCGATGACTAATTTAAATTAGTCAGCCAGGCCAATGACTAACATTTATTGGTCAAAGATAAGGCAGATATTGATGAATTTGACCAAAGTCAGGCACTGCTGACTAAACAGTAGTCCTGTCTTGATTTAATAAGTCATCGAGACCCGACTTACCAGTATACATGTAGTTATCATTTGGAGCACAAAATGGTTAACTTTCTACACAGTGTTTTGATCTTTGATCCGCCTTATGGACGCAACAAAGTTTAGGAAATCATAAGATGGAACTACTACGGGAAAGCAGTGACCCTTAAACATTTCATTACCTCCACTGTAGTGGATTACAGTTTCGAAGTTTGTGAAATATAAATTTTTTAAACTCCAATTCAAAATTGGTTTCATTGCAGATATTGCCTCAATGACAAGCCAGAAACCAATGATATTACCGCTGACGGCGAGTTCGTGTCAAGTGTCTAGCCTGACAGGCGGGAAGGGATCCCAACTGGCCAAGCTTGTGGCCCTGCGGAGACAGCAACCTGTCGAGGTAAGGGAATAAGGAACAGACAGAGGCTGAATGCTACAGTGGTTCAAATTCTTTTAATGTCAATTCTTCAAGTTATATTTAAATACTTTTTTCTCCCTCGGATACGGTTACATTTGGGGGCATTTATGATAAAATGCTGTGGAAAACTTTTTTTATTTTTTTTTTTTCAAAACATAAACGTAAATGGAGACATTGTTGCACTGTAACTTTTCATCATTGAAAGGGGATATCAAGTGACACTTTTATTTATCCCACTGTGTGAACCTGAGTGTTATGTCGGCAGTAGGCCTATACTACTGCTGGATTCAGTAACTCAATTTGAATATTGCCCTACATGCGCTGATCTTTCGCAGTATGAAGTTCCGTCTGGGTTCTGTATTACAACAGCTGCCTTTCGGATGCATCTACGGGTAAGAGACAGTTCAAAGAATTTCACATGGTCGGTAGAAATATCTAAAGTTGCAAAAACTGAACGGATATGAAATCTTTATCGCTGTACAAGTGTTTACGTGTCAACATGCATCAACCTGTCCACCACTTATTCGTTTGTATTGCCCAGTGGACTTTATTCACGAGTCGGCCACATTGAATTGAAAGCAAGGTTAACTTTTCATTTCGGGAACCCAATAAGAAAACTGAAAGTATGGCATGAAAGTGCACCACGAATTAATGCAACTAGCGTAGAGTTTTAATTCAATTTTTGGAAGAATAACGACGCATTGCAGAGAGCCGTGACGGAACTGAAGGAAGTGTCATGCACCTTACAAGAGGGCGACCTCATGGCAACATGCGAAAGGTAAACGGAGGGTTTGCATTCCTGCCATATTGCAGGCCAGTGCCTTTGTTCCACGGTGAATGCACAAAGGAGATTTCCGTGTGGAACAAAAGTACTGCCCAGCAAGATGTTGGCACCATATGAGCTCCGTACAGGCAGCCCTGAATTGTTGCACGATGTTGGTAATCACTAATTTATCAGCATATATCAGGGTTTCCCCGCGTCGTTTTGTAACATCACTGAGGCACAAGGAACCTTATCTTTCAGATATTTCGAGAGGCTCCTCATGTCATCTTTAACAAGGGCTTGGAAAATTTCTTCACAAATCAAATGTTTTTATGAAAATCAGTAAGGTGGTATCATCCGAGACAACTGCAAGAGAATGGGCCATGACTTGTAAAGTCCCCGGATGGAACCGCTGTGAGGGCGCTAAGCTAAACTTGTATAGGCAGAGGAACTGCGTGGAGTACTCTGCGTTTAGGCTCTATTTCAAGAATCATAATAACTACAAGGTGAACAAGATTACTGGTTACATCATATTGCATCATCCCCCCAAAATGGGCAATGTTGCCAAAGCCTTGTATCAGTAAAGGTGCATACCGCCCTCTGTTGTTGAAAATAAAGGTGACCTGAACAGGATCACAGTCTGTGCACTTGAAAACGACTGTCTCGTGTACGTCTTGTCCAGCTTATTTCAAAGTCTGTTTTGTAGCTGCTCGTCAGTAGATAACATTACAACCTATTGTTTCGCAAAATGACTCCATGCATGCAGCCCAAATTTCAAATAACTGGTTTTTAAAATTTTACTTTGCCTTTTCCGTGTCTTGAAGGACCACTGCTCTGATTGCTAAAACGGACATCTCAGATCGTCTGAAGGCTGAAATTGATGGAATGGTAGCTGAGATATTTGACGATGCGGAGGGCTCGAAGATGTACGCCGTGCGCTCTTCAGCAGTCGGTAAGAATTAAAGCAAATTGTCACTGCAGTTGTCATTTTGCAGACGAACGACACCATTTGCTTTCCAAAGTTAATAGCCTTAACCTTAATTCTTTTCATTAAAAATCAGGAAAGTATGTCTTTTATTTAAAACAGTACCAACATGTGAAAAATGGCCTATATAGATTTTAATCGGCTGGGGAGCGAGGGAAATTCACAACATTTTTTTGCATCCGTAAAGGAATCCTCGACCACTGCCATAGGTGGTGATACCGTTTCTGAAGTTTTAGAATTTTCAATTCCTAAACAAAGCGGGAGAGAAAAAGGGAGGAGAGAAATTGACAACTCTCTCCAGGGGGAAACTTGCCCAATGACCCATCCCCTCCGGATACGCACTTCCGTCACTCATTAAACTAGTGCATGCATGCTTATTGTGCATCCATTTGCCCGAAAATATGTGCCATTCCAGAGATATATAAATTTCACTTTACATTATAAACATCACGAGAATGTGAACACAATGGGTTGCCTTATTCATTTATTCCTCGACCCCCTCGTCTCTCTGCTTGTTAGGTGAGGATACCTCACTTACCTCAGCTGCCGGCCAGATGGACACATTCCTTGGAATTAACGGCATGGAAAAGGTATGTTTTTAATTTAAAAGGATAAGGCTCTGACCTAAAATATTGCTTTTCTTGGTAAATGCAGCATTAACTTCATAACGATTTCAGCCAGACGCACATTGGGGATTTGTCGTGTGGGGTTCGGATTGTAATTTCCCCCAAAGTAGTTCCTGCTACTCAGGCCCCCCCCTACCCGAGTTGCGCCACAAGGGACTGGAATGTACGGCTATATCAGAGTTAGTAATTTAGAAACGTACATGCATAGGTGTCTACACAGTATCTTCCTTTTCAGAAAGTACAAGTGAAAACCCTTGGGTACTCTACTGATTGTAAGCAACGATAAACAGTATCAATTTCAGATACTGTGTAATATGAATGTCTCCAGATAGAGTTGCGTATTATGGTGGTGGTTTCTTACATAGCGCTAAAAATTCTGTGCATGCGCTCCATATCAAGAACAAAAGTGATTACATCAGAGCTATGACATTAGACGCAGGCTGTGCATGATGATTATGATATATCACAAAATACTCATCTGACAGACACACGTATCATCTCTCAATTTGACTGTCAAGATCGCAGAACAGGTAGACATTAGCGTCAAATCTACACCGAAGAAATGAAGACTAGCAGTAAATAAGTAGCATAAAACACCCTTTTGTTTTACATCTCCTTGCGGACTTTGATAGGTATTTGAAGCGATCCCGAAATGTTGGGCGTCAAACTTCTCATTCCAAGCCGTTCAGTATCGAAGGTAATACATTTTATACCGAAATGTAGTCAATGTATATAAAAGCTAAAGCAAATTACCCCACGTAAAACCTGGGGGATACACAACGGAATAGGTAACATTAATCGCCAGGCTTGCTTACCTCATCGGCTTTATGAATTGGAGTCCCATCGTCCTCCATTATGCTGCTGTTTAACCTTTTTGTAGGCAGTACGGCCAAGCAGTGGACGCAGCCATGGCGGTAGTTGTCCAAGAAATCGTCACCGCAGAAAGCGCGGGTGAGTTTCGCCAGTCACGGTGAATTAAACTGCATTATGGCCATTTCTAACACCCGTTAAGCCAGTCGGGGAGTTTCATTCTCGAAGAAATAGCAGCTTGCCTTCACCCAGTACTTACAACGAGGATGCACATTGCAACAGACGATTGACAGAGCTGTGATAGCTTCGAGGAAGGTGTTGTATAGATCAGCGGAGAGAGAGTTAGGTTGAGATAGAGAAAAAAGCAAGTTTACTCGGTTAAAAGAAGGCCTCCATCTGATTTATTTTGAACGAAACAGAAAAAGACATCGAATAGGCATTGTTTAACTACAACTAAATCTGAGACAATTTGGTCACAACGTGCCAAATTTCAATCAAAACTGACGTAGGTGGCTCGTCGAAGGATACTGTTATGTCTTCTTGTTCAGGTGTTGCTTTCAGCCGTGATCCTATGACCGGAAACCCAGCAAAAATCGTCATCAATTCCAACTACGGATTAGGAGAGGTAATAATGGGCCATGTTTTGTGGCACTCACGCACTTAAAATTAACTTTTATGTAATGTTGAGTGTTCCGTCAAAATGTCGACGATGGAAAGCTAGAAAAACTCATTACGCTTGTTGTATCAGGATTAAGGTATTTGCTTTTACACCTGCGTTTTGGAGAATGTTAGCGTATCTGGGCACTTTCATAGTGCAATACGAAGGGTATGTCAAAACCGCCATTCGCACTGCACATGCAGTTGAACAAGCCCAATTTTGCTTGATCTCTGAACCCAGTATTCCTGTCTGAAATGGTCTTTCAGTGAAGAAACACAAACAGCCCATGTTCACTGTCAAAAAAGTTGTGAGATAGAGTGTTTTCAAACCCCGCGTTTTGTGAATAGCTGTAAAAACGGCACACCTGTGACTGAATTTTGCGGTGCAATTTTATGTCCATATTTAGTTGTCCAAATACAGAATTTGACATGTTGAAGTATATTTGAGGAGGAGCTGCAGTGGGTGTATTTCGGCCATCGCTGGTGTGTCTTTAGGAGTTACAGGTGGCATCTGCAGAGGAACAAAGCAAATTATTGGCAATTACGGGATTGAAAATCGTTGAGAGTGATTTCGAATTTTTT